TTTTTTTCTCAAGGCTAGTGCTCTACCACTTAAGCCACAACTCCACTTTTGACTTTTTGATATTTAATTGGAGATAAGGGCTTCACAGACTTTCCTGCTTGTGCTGGCTTTGAACCTTGATCCTCAGATCTTAGCCTCCTGAGCAGCTAGGATTACAGACCTGAGCCACTTTCACCCAGCATTTTGCTGGTTATTTTGTAGACAGAAGCTCTTAAAATCATAGGGTCATTTGCAGCAGTGGGCAGGACCTCTACTTCCTTATTATGGCATTTCTAGAGTCTAGCTCACAGCAAGTCCCAAATGAGGGTTCTGTGGGTTGAAATGAAGTCTAAGAAACAGGCCTCCCGCTCATAGAGTTGGGCCTCTGAGGTGTTGTCATTGGTTTCAAGGATCTTGCTCTGATCTCTGTCAGAGCCCCCCAGTCACCAGGGAAGCACCAGGTGTGGGTATGATCAGCCCTGGTACCAGGATACCACCCCATCACTCCTGCTGGGTTAGCAAGTCACCATTTATTTTCTTGACCTTCCTTCCTTCTTTCCTTTCTCCTTTCCTTCCTTCCTTCCTTCCAACCTTCTTTCCTTCCCTTCCTCCCTCTCTCCCTACCCCCTTCCTCTTTTGTTTTCTTTTCTTTCTTTTTTGTCAGCTCTGGGGCTTGAACTCTGGGCCTAGACGCTGTCCCTAAGCTCTCATGGTCAAAGCTAGCACTCTACCACTTGAGCGACAAGTCCACTTCCAGTTTTCTGGTGGTTAATTGGAGGTATGAGTCTGGCTTGGAACCATGATCCTCAGATCTCAGCTTCCTAAATAGCTGGGATTACAGGAATGAACCACTGGCTCACAGCACCATTTACTTTCTGCCAATAGATCTGACATCTCTTATTCCCCTTAAATTGTCTCCCATTTCATATGTAAGGAAACTGAAGCTCCATGAAGTTAAGTGAGTTCTCAAGTAAATGATACAACTTGCTCAAAAGGTCCTGGACTAGATATAGGTTCAGATCTACTAAGCCACATAGTCCTTGAGCAAATCAGTTATTCCTTGTTCATTCATTCAAAAACTGTTTATTGCCTATCTGAGTATATCAGTGATAGGAATACAGAGGTGAATGGAGAATCTTACTCTCCAAAGAGAACAGACTCCATTTCTCCACTGCTTATAGTAGTGCTTACCTGTTTCTACCTTGGAGATTGAAATAAAATATAAGTACAGTTTTTAATTATATATAATTATATACAGTGTATATATAGAAAGAAAATCGCATATATCCATATACATATACCTATTTTATATAAATCCTCATTTGTGTTATTAGTATTGGTTGTGTACAAACCCTGCCCATGATACCTCTGAAGCCCCACTGGGCAGAAACACTGGAAAAGCACTGCCTTTTCCTAGAACAGGCAATCCCCAGGTGCTTGTTAAGTTCTAGACAGGGCTCTCACCTGTGTTGAGTACTAAGCACTTTCTCCCACAGTATAAACACGGCCATGAACATGTACCCTCCTGGGTTCCAGGACAGCCCTAGCAAGTCTCTGAGACTGTGACTCTGGTGACTTTTAACGAATGGTCTTCCAAAGCTTACTTGATGGATTTTGAGCCTACCCTGCCTTTTACTAGCATATGACCCTGGACAATTCCCCATTCCACCTGTCTCACTTGAAAAATAGGTGTGACAATAATACTGACATCATAGGATTATTGTGCCCATTAAGAGAGGAAATGTACGCAGAATGCTAACAGTGAACCAAAGGCATGTGATAACTTAGTGAATGCCCCTATGCTACTCTTCTTCTACCACAGCACAAGTGTTGGAGTTTCTCACCAGTGTGAAAGATACTTGTGTCTTCTAGAACATTCCACAGACAGGGATGTACTGGATGGAGGGAGAGATATACACCAAGTTTCTAGCCCTTGCAGAGGGTGTCCAATTCACCCCCAGGCTCAGCTCCAAAGAGTCCAGCTGGGTGCATCTGGTGGGGGAGATTAAATTATTTTTGAATTCCTAACTGAATGTTCTTTTAATGGAAACTTAATGACAAGCATTGAAATAGATTTCCTCCATAACCCCTCCTCCCACCATGCCTGCACCCCCCCCTCTAGCCCCCATGGCTCTGGGTTGCACAGTTCCCGATAACCTTTATTCCCTACCCTTGGACTTTTATCTCCCCAATGACAAACAGCCCTTACTGGACAGAAAGAGGAAATTCCAGTCATTGTTCTTAAACTTCTGGCTTCCAAAATAAAATGCTCTATCTCTCCTGTCAAGCTTTGATTGACACATACTTCCTGTAATGGCAGACAGTAACGGCCCAGGGGCGGGTCCAAGAGTTCATTTGCCTTCTTTCCATCAGAGGTTTCCTCTGTTTGTTCTAGACAGGGGAAGAGTCCCCCTGCAGGAGCATCCTGTTGGACACCCATCTCTCGATTTAAGATACATCTCCAGAGAGAATTCTTTCACACCAAACCTGTCATCCACTTGGGAAGTTTTTCCTTAAGGTTTGATTCGGTGTCGTGCATACCTTTTAGAGGTTTAAACAGTCACTCCACATTGATCATCTCATTTCTTTGACTTGGCCACTTATAGATGAATTTTTCCCCTGCTACCCTTATGAAAGATGGCATCCCTTAAATCCTGGAAGGTCAGACTTTCCAAGTCAAAAGTCCCATGACAACAGAGAAATGAAGGGGCATCTGTACGCAGGAAAACTTTAGTACAATAGTACATCATGGGGTGCAGTTTTTTGAAATATAGACATGCTTCAGGAAGTAGAACAGAATACTGATGTGTTAGAGCCTGCTGGGGAAATGTTTCTGCACTGGAATAAAAAGCTCCCCTTCACACCCGCACTCATCTATAGGCAAGCTGGCCCACTGCTGTGCTCTGGTCCTCCCATTTTCTTCATTCATGGAGTTCCTGAGCCCTATTTCCCCCAGCTCTCCAAATGCCCAGTGGCTCTATCAGGGAGGTGAGGGTCTAACTATCCCTGAGAACTATCTCAAGTTGCCAGCCCCAAGATCCATTTCTTAAAAGGCCTTGGTGAATGGGTGCCAGAGCTTTGATGGGAATTTGTATTAAAGAGGAGACTCCAACTGGACACCAGAGGCAGTGGCTTATATGTGTAATCCTACCTCTGGAGACTAAAAACAGAGAATTAAGGTCAGCCTGGGCAGACAGTTCCAAGAAACTCCATCTCCAACTAACTAGCAAAATGTGAGGCTAGAGGTGTGCCTCAAGTGGTAGAGCCAGCCCTAAGCAAAAACAGCTGAATGAAGAATGTGAGGCCCTGAGTTCAAGGACAAGTACCAGCACAAAGTTGAGGAGGGGGGAAGAAAGACAGAAAGAGAGAGAGAGAGAGAGAGAGAGACAGAGACAGAGACAGAGACAGAGACAGAGAATGAGCAAACAAGTATGAAAGTACCTTGATATTATTTTTTGTTTTTTGCTGGTCCTGGGGCTTGAACTCTGGCCCTGAGCACTGTCACTGCGTTCCTTTTGCTCAAGGCTGGTACTCTAGAGCCACAGCGCCACTTCTAGCTTTTTTATGTGTGTGTCATTACTTGGAGATAGGAATCTCATGGTCTTTCCTGCCTGGGCTGGGTTAGAACTGCAATCCTCAGATTTCAGCCTTGTGAGTATTTAGGATTACAGGTGTTCGCCATCAGTGTCAAGTGTCCTTGATCTTAAAGAAGGAATATTTGTCATGGGAATAACTCAGAAATATACTGATCAGAAAGATTCTCCTTGTCTGGTTCCCTTAACAAAAGAAATGGATTAGTCCTCAGCATTTCACTGCCATTGAGCAGTGCAGACCAGAACAGTGACACTGATGTGCCTGGCTTGAGTGAATTCATTTTTCCACCAGTTCATAAAGGGCTACAGAGTAATAAAGCCTCATGACAACCAGCCAACAGAGAATTCCAACTCCCTGAAGCTTGCAATGTTGATTCCTTTTGGCCTTGTCAGCAAATTAAGTTGTGGTTCCTAAGCGCTTACAGCCACAGAGTCCTCTTCCATGTGGCCTCTGCATACCTACCATGACAGCTACTGACAAGATATGAACTCCTAATCCTATCATAGCTCCCAGGTCGAGGTCAGAAGGACAAGAATGTGCAGATGCATCTGAACAAAACCAGTCCAGTCCTGGAAAAACAAAGCCATCCCTACCAACAATGGCCTGTGTTCCCTCTGTTGCTGCCAAGATTCACACTGGAGAGATTTGATGGAACTAGACCGGAAGGGGTATGTCTTCAACCTACCTCACTTCCTCTTGGGGGGGATTCAGACAACAAATGTGTTCTATTTCCCTCCTCCCCACAGGTCTTGCTCTTCCAGGAGAAAGTCCACCCTCAGTAGGAATATTTTCCCTACTTGCCTTGCTGATTAATGCACAATTAATGACACTTTTGGAAAGTGCATGAAGTTTTAGAACTTTATTAACACATTGAACATATCTTTTTAAAATTCCTAAGCAGCTTAGAGTTCCATTTTTTTGAGACTATGTTGAAAATAATACAGGTAGGGAAATGAACAAGACATTCACATCCAAACCTTCCCTAAAAGTCCATTAAGTTGGTTCCTTATAAAAAGATGTGGCTTTGGCTCTCACAGGAATATCTAACAAAGTCCTGTGAGACCATATCCCACTCCTCTATATTTTATACTTTTCTTTCAGACATAGGATTTCAGTACAAGCTCTGGGCAAAGAAACACCAGGTTATCATTGCATCCCTCCCCTAGGCTGACTGCATTTCACAGTCCCCATCACCATCTTGGAAGAACAAGGAATAAGTACTCTTTTAACAGATTAGTAGTGCATTAGTTCATCTGTTGCAAATTGAAGGAACTATCACTATCCTGTTCAACTCAAGCATTCTTGCCTTGCAGGAAGATGTTTACTGAGATTCCATCCGTGAGGCTTGAACTCTGGGCCTGGATGTTGTACCTCAGCTTTCAGCTCAAGGTGAGCACTCTACCACTGGAGCCACGGCGCCACTTCCTCATTGAGATTCTACAGTATAAGATTCAGCCTCTGTCTAAATGTACCATGTGGGATCATTTGGACCAAAGCCCAGTGTGGGCCACAGCATTTGAACAGGCCACAAAACAAGTTCCAGTCATGTGATTCCTCTCCACTGTGTGTATGGAATGGTGCAGGATGACTGGGCTGTGTCTTCTCTTTCCACTTCTCTCCACATGACGGAGACTCCAGTGAGTGCTCCAAACACCGGAGCTGGAGAAGGTCAGAGTTTCAACCATTCTCTGTGTAACCATCTCCAATTGCCATCAATGGAATAGTTCACCTCCCCTAAGTCAGGAGTTGTTTTCTTTGTTGATAGAAGTCAGCATCAAAATGAAAGGAACAATTTTCTTATACGTAGAATCAAAAGCAAAATTAAAGCTGCCTTCTGATCCTATCTAAAGCTTCAAAATCCTTCAAGAAGCTGCTACAAAAAGTATCTCCTTTAGTCTGTCCATGAGGTAGATGGTGGATGATTTTTATCTATCCCCCATCAACATTAAAGAGTCTCAAATAATCATATTCAAGATTCCTGGTGGGCTCCTCTGGCTCCCATTTGCAGTTTCACATGAAAGCATCACATGCTCTAACACGGCAGGGCTCTGTGTCCTGTAGGATCATGGTTTGAAGGTCATTGTAGCAGTAGTCATAGCCAGTTCTTGTTCTACTTTCAGACTCTACAACTGCTGACTGACTCATAACGCTTCTGTCCCCTAACATACCCGAAGATTTCCTCCTGTTCAAAAACCCACTGCTACATTTTAGTGTCGTCGGTTTCATCAACTTCTGCTAAGATGAAGTTGGGGTTGTCATAGCCTCTCTTCATCCTGGCTCTGGCATCTTTCTCATTGTAAAGACACATAGCACAATGGGGAGTCTCCACTTCCACTGTCTTGCTAAAGTTATGGAAGTCGACTCGGTATTTCCCTTCCTTGGTCTTAGAGACTATTGGAACAAAACGGTAGCCCCAGAGCACCTCCTCTGGGACATAGGATGTGCGAACTTGGCAAGTAGCACTGGTTGATTCCACTGTGCCATCTAGAAATACCACTAATTCAAAGTCTTGCTGGGAAAGGGTCTCTGCTGCCATGTGGAAGAAAGGGCTGTTGTGGTCAATGATGTGGTAGATTGTCAGTGGGGAGATGAAGAACAAATTTTCATTGCCAGCATCGACTACAAAGTTGATGTTGGTCTGGTCCAGAATGATGGTCTCTCCTTCAGGAGTGACTGTGGTCTTCAGGAGCTTTCCGTAGATGTGGCTGCCAATAAGAAGGCTCTTCCTAAGATTGGCCACTCGGATTAAAAGGCAGAGTTTGCCACCCCGCTTGCTGATCACTGCATGTTTGCTGAATGTAATGGCCTTGGCACGTTTTTTGGGTCTGGAGATCTTGGCTAAGATGGCGCCACACATGAAAGAATTGATAATGACCCCAAGAATAGACTGGAAAATGAGCAGAAAGATGGCAGTGGCACATTGTTCTGTCACACACCTGAATCCATACCCTATGGTCACTTGGGTTTCCAGAGAAAACAGAAAGGCTGAGGTCATGCCATTAATATTCTCCACGCAAGGAGTGTGATTGTCAGCAGGATGGAACTCTGGGAGATCTTTGTGGACATAGGCTACCACATACCACAGTAGACCAAAGAGGAACCAACTCCCCAGGAAGGCTGTGATGAACACGGTCATTTTGTATCTCCATTTGAGCTCAAGCACTGTCGTCCAGATGTCTACAAAGAATATGAACCTGGACTGTGCATCCACATTGCCAAATTCTATGTTACACCTTCCATCTTTGGAAACAAGTCGTGTTCTTTGCCGAGAATGCCCAAAACAGTGAGCAACAAACCATTTCCGAAGATGTTTGAACATCCTGATCTGCAAACACAGCAGAGGAAAAGAAAATAAGATTTTTGTCCATAGCAGTAGAGAGCTAAGTAATAGACATAGCTACCTATATATGAACAGACCATCCAGAACTCAAACTTACAAATGGCTACCGCCACACTATTCTCAGTAAGAACTTTCCACTGGGTGACCACATTCCTTCAATATAAAATTTATGACAAAGATGTGAATTGAAGGAAACTAAAAAATGATATAGCCAAGAATTTCCTGATTTCAGTCGTCACAGGGAACCTGAAAAAATGTTAATGGTAGCTAGTTACGATCTGGACTTTATTTGATATTGTTATTCAAATCTCCTTCCCTTGAAATTTTTAGTTTTCTGCTTAGCAGTAAACATTAAATTGTAAGTTGAAGTACTGTTTATATTTTTGTGACATATAAAAATAAGTAGCTGTTGGGCACAGTGGTGTATGCTTGTAATCCCAGCTACTTCAGAGCACAGACAAGAGAGTTACAGTTGGAAACCAGCCCAGGTAAAGTGTTAGTGGGACTCTATCTCAGAGTATAAGCTAGGAATGGTGATGCATATCTATAATTCTAGCTACTCAGGAGGATAGGTAGAAGGATCTTGGCCTGCAGTCAGCCCCAGGCAAAAAAGTGGGAAACACTCTCTAAAAAACTAACCTAAAACAAAAAGGGCAAGAGGACATAGCTCAAGATTGCCTGGCTGGCAAGTACAATGCCCTGAGTTCAAAATCCATACAACTTAATAACTTAAAAAAGGAACATTCTGTTAGGCACTGATGACTGATGTCTATAATCCTGGCTGTGCCAGAGGCTGAGATCTGAGAATCTCAGCAGTAGCAGGAAGGCAGGTGGGATTCTTATCTCTGATTAAGGACCCACAAAAAGCTGGAAGCGGTGATGTGGCTCAAGTGGAAGAGTGCTAACCTTGAGCAAAACAAGCCTAGGGACAGTACCCAGGTTCTAAGTTCAAGTGTGAAGACTGGCATACAGACACGTACACATACACACACACAAGGTAGGAGGGAAAGAAGAAAGGAAGAAAAGGTGGGAGAAAGGAAGAGTCATACTACCTGAAATGTCTGGTGTCCTGCTACTGATACTCATATATCATTAGACCTTCTGACTCCATTCAGTTTGGTCATTTGTCAAAATGAAGGAAGCAAGACTCAGAAATTTTACATGGTCCATGGAGCAAACCAGCAACAAGAGAGCTAGAACATACAGCCTCCTGTCTCTACCTCAAGAAGATATCTGCTGCAGCACCTCTCACAGTCAACTTTCCTATTCTAAAGCTCGATTTTCCTAAAACACTTTCCTAAGTGCTTTAAAACATTTTCCTAAGACAAGCCCAATATTGGTGAAAATCCTTTTTGTACCCAGCACTGTTGGTTCACATCTCTTAGCTACTCAGAAAGCACAAATCTGAAGGTTTCAAGCAAGCCTAGGCAGTGAAGTCTGTGAGACTCAATCTCCAAAATATCTAGCAAAAGCCATAATGGAGGTCTGGTTCCAGTGGTCAGGCACCAACCTAGAAAGCAACTCAAGTGAGAACAGGAGGTTCCGAGTTCAAGAGCCTCAATATTTGGTGTCTCAGTATTGGCACCAAAAAAAGTTAGTATTTAGAATAAAGCTCCAACTTTCTCTGTGGGCCTACAAGCCTGTTTCTGGACTTTTCCCACACACACACTGTGTGCTAAGATTTTTCGAAAGGAATAGTTTGAGACTCACCATCATTAACTCCATCTTTCCCTCACTGCTTCTGAGCTACAGAATGAGTGAGCACTGACTTAAACTGAACTTAATAAATGCAGACACATGTTCCATTCATTCCTAGATCCAAGCTGCCCACGTAGTCTATGAGCGCTCACTGTTTATTCCATCAGCCTATGCAGGAAGGATCTGAAGGAATTAGATCTTCACAACACAATCTGAAGCTGAGTATTGTCTGCACTTGTAGCTACACAAGAGGCTGAGATCTGAGGATCACAGTTCAAAGACAGCCCAGGGAAGGAAAATCCATGAGACTCTGATCTCCAATTAATCATCAAAAATCCAGAAACAGAGCTATGGGGCAAGTAATAAGCGCTGGCCTTGAGCAAAAACATCCCTGTGTTCAAGCCCTAGTATCAACTCACACACACAAACACACACACACACACACACACACACACACACACACCAAAATCTGTTCAATGGTTTCTTTTGTGACTTCTGTTTGACAGAAAAATAGTAAAGGGAATTTCCCCCTAAACAGCCACCGCTGGTGAAACCAAGGAGTCATAAACATCTGACCACATCTCGTCCTAGGCCAAAGAAATTCAAAGGTGTGTCCACTAGGGTTAGCAATATCTTTGTGGTATTTTTTTTTCATCCAATGCAAATAGGTTTTTTAAATAGATTTCAAAATTCCCCTCTTTAAAAAAAAAAAAAAAGGTATTTGGTCATAAAAACCAGGAAGTGAAACCCACTGAAGTGATAGCTTGTAAACCAAAAGTGATATTCCAGTGTTCCAGTGTCTCCTTCATGGCTTTGGCCCAGATAAAAATACAGGAAGCCAATGGTCAGTAGAAGTGGTAGAGAGAAAATCACAGGTGTGGTGATTTGCTCTGAGGATATGAGAGCCACAGCTTTGCCTTGCACACATTCGCAGGGCACTGCTCAGCTCTCATTAACCTCAAGTCTCCAAAGGGATGAAGGGATGACTCCAGGTGAGATGCAAAGAGGGAGATACAGGCTCCTTCCCTCCAGCCCTCCTGGGCCCTGCACAGACATCCCTTAGCCTGGCCCACACCCACTGGGGACTGATCCTCTCCCTAAGGCTTTCCATGGAGTGGATCTCACCTCCCATCATGTTCTTGCAACCCATATTTACCCACAGAACCATGAGTGAACCTCCTTCTCTTTGTCAGATGATCTCTAATACACCAGTTTCTAAGCTTTTATCCCCTGCCAATAAAAAGGTATATAGCCTTACAAAGATGCCTTCGATATTTTCCCAGATTGTCTGAACTTACCAACGTCCTAAACATACTCTCGCTTGAAGCATCCATGGCTGGCGAAAGCAAGGACGTAGCAGCATTAGGAGCTGTGTCGAAGCCTGATGGTATCATTTAGGCTGGACCAAATTTATCACCGGCTTCAACCAGTGGATTGACGCTAATTGGTACTAGCTTGAAAAAGACTAATTCAGCAGTGGAGTGGTGTGGTGCACACCAGAGCCAGTGGTAGCTCCCAGACCCTGCTCTGAGCTGGGTATATATATATTTTCAAACCTCACATGGCTTGAATACCGTCATGCTAAGACATGACAAAGCACCAGCTAAGGTCCCCAGGAGCAGATATAGATTGGACGCCAGCTTTGCCCTGTTCTCCTTTGCCACGCTCTCTTGCTCTCTCGCTGTTCCAAAGTCATGCCAAATGACTTGGCCAGAAACAGACTAGTTATCACCAATCTCCCTGCCATTTCTCTGACACACACCAAGATAATGAGTTCTCCAAGAATTCACAAACATACAGGTGGATGGAGAGACATAGTTGTTAGTTAGATCACACCAGGAAGAAACCAAATAACCAAGTTAATCTCTCCTCAACAAATGGCCATTGTTATGTAAGAAACTAAGACAGTAAAGACAGCCTTTATTGTTGTTTTTATTCTGGGAAAACTGACCTTTACTAAAGTTGTACATGTATTGGATTAGCCAAAGGTGTTAATCTATTTGTTCTAAAAGTGAGAAAAATTTCACTTAGAGGAAACAAAGATACAGGATAAATTCATCCATCAACCAAACCTATCATTCTCACAGCAGATACATCATCACAGGTACCCTAGCTTGCTTAGACAATGGCACTTAATCTGACCACAGACAGAGCCAGTGTGTACTTTCTTGGTGATTAGAGATTGTCCCTGGTGTCTGGGTTATATAACATGCCCAGTTTTGTGTGTGTGTGCTTTTTTTTAAAGGTTCCTTTCTATTCCGATCAGTAAATCTTAATGGCAAGCATCGGGCTGCACATTAGCTAATATTTACCAAGGCGTCCTTGGTGGTCTGGCAGCACAAGTGGATTGCATTATTGCCACTTTTTCTTTTAGTGCCTAAGCATTTTCGTTCTGTAAATAGCTTCTGCTCAGAAAATAGACTTATTAGACACTTCCCACACATGGATTGTGTGCTTCTTCTGTCGGATTTCAAGGAGAAATTTCCTGTTCTCAAGAGGCTGACCATCAAGGGATGAGGAAACAAAACACATCAGAGGTTACACCATTGTGTGGTTTGTCCAGTGCTAAAAGGACCACATTTCTACAAAATCCCTTCTAGCTGTGTATCCAGCTTCTGGGAAGGTATTCCAACTGGATGCAGTTGAAATATATTAGTTCACTTATTTGTCATTATTCAGTCATGATGTTGATACTAGCTAGCCCCTGGACCAGCATTGTACTGGACATCACACAGCCAATGCCTGGGATATCTCACAGCCAATCCTGTGGGCATGATTCTTGTCACCAATCTGCTCTTGGGCAAGTTGGGGATAGCAGATGAGTCCACAAGCAGCCAAACCCAGAGTGATGGCATGATAGGAACAGTGGGAGCGGTGTGCTGCTTTGAGGCGCACAACAGTGACACAGAGGCCAAGGCCTGGAGATTGCCAGAGTTACACAGACTTGCTGAATGATGAGCAATAAGCTAATCAATGTGGATATCAAAGCAAGGAGTTTGCTCTTGTTTGCTCAGCAGCTGATGACCGCAGCTCCAGTAGAGATATTTTGGAGGTGTGTTCCTGTGTGACCACCCTATATTTAAGTGTATGTGGCTTCAGAAGAAAGGACAGAGGTAGCCAAATACATAAGGCTGAAGGAAGTTCCAGGACAACAACTTAAAAGCACTAGAGGGCTTTGGTGTGACTCTGGGCTGGAAAGGCAAAGAGAGCCCAGACAGCCATTTTCTATTCACTACATTTCAATTAAAGACCTTCATGAAAATCTGGCTTTGTTCAGAACACCCAGA